CCTTTGAAATACTCCAGGTCTTTTGCCTTCTTGGATGACTTTGTTTCACTGTTGTGAATTTTAAAGATACCACATAGAAAATTATAAACTGCAGGAGGGGTAAGAGACAAAAACTATTGCCTATGAAGACTTTGGTTAATCACAGTTTTTTCAAGCATAAACCTTTGGTTTTGCTGTCTCCTTTTGATGGATTTATTGGCAGATGAGATAGTCTATATCAGCATTAAATTTGGGCCACTGCAATAGTGGTTGTTACTGTACACTGAGAGAGTATTGCATAGAATTCCAACACTTGCATGCAGACTATAGATTCCTTCCTTCCACCCGCTCGCCCACATCTTTATATAACATTATGTTTAATTGTTCAGAAAAAGTAGACCTGTTTTCTGGACCTTTTAATTGCATTACAATATTAGTGCATTTTTCTTACCAGTGCAGACCTCATCCTGAGAGACAAAGCTGTGTGATGAAGTGGATTTTTTCTTGGGATCATGGTCCAAAGCTTAAATCACATTTATATGAGTTCAGTTAATTTGGCTGATTCTTACATGTTCTTATTGACTTATTCTTTCTTATATGTTCTTTTTCCCAGCTGATCCCTATTGTTCAAACCAAGAGTGAAAAAAAGCCTGCTGTAAATGGGAGCTACGTTGCTCAGATAAATCCTGCAGATAAAGGGTGCCTACTTGAGAAGTACAGCAGTAAATACACTGATTGTGAGTTTGGACTGTTGGCCAACCTTTATGCCAGTGAGGGACAACCTGGTAAAGTACGTACTTCGATCAAAGGTGACTTTGCAGTGTTTTGTGACTGAATGGAAACTCATGTTTCTCCTAGCAGTGTTCTATGATAATAGTAAAGTAGTAATTCCATAAGAGAAACATGCAAAAATGAGGAACTGATGCCAGTGATTGAGGGGAAGAATTAGTGGAGACAGAGGCACTTGAATTTTTGAGGGATAGGCATTAGTTTACTAAAACTTTTCCATCATAAATCATTCATCTAAATCCAATCCAAACTAGCAGTGACTTAAGGTAATTGTGCAATATACTTGTGTAAATGAGACGTGGGCACTTAGGTAGTTTTTTGCACAAGTCCTTCTCCTGACACAGCCAGCAGTAAAAGATGCTGGCAGAACAGTCAAAAACCTGACTGCTGCATGGAAACTGAACAGTCTCCTCTGTTACCCAGTGTTTCTTTCGGACAGAGTGGAAGCCAGCTGGTGGACAGAAGGGAGTTGCTCAAGTCACTGTCTCATGTATGGGTAAATCTCTTGCTGCCCAGCTCCCTTTATAGGCAAAGCTAGCATTGAACAGAACTAAGGTAAAGAGAATTGCTCACATACTGGAAAGATGGAAATGCAGCAGCACTTGCATGGAGGCTTATCTTTTCAGAAAGTGATCTTGGGTTATCAGCTTGGGAGAATTTCAGAGCAGCTTTCATAGACCTTCTCAGACTACTGCAGCAGGAGACAGCAGTGACAAACTGACTTTTATCTTCCAGGTCATTGAAGTGAAAACCAATGGAAGAACCGGGGAGCTTAACTTTGTGTCCTGTCTGAGACAAACTTTAGAGAAACACTATGGAGAAAAGCCAGTTGGGATGGGTGGTACGTTTATCATTCAGAAGGGGAAAGCAAAGATTCACATTATGGTATGTTGTTCTCAATGCATGTAAACAGAAGTATAAATCAGGGTGTCACATCTCAGTTGCTTCATTTTGTTTTGTATTTTTAAATGGATGCATAAACTATTAGGATGAGCACTGTATTAAAGTAAGGAGTTGACATTACAAAATCAGTGTTAGAAAACTAGTAATTCTATTTTAGTTGGCATTAATGCCATCATATTTTGAAATCTATGTGCAGCTAAAGAACTGGAGAACTACTGTAAACTGAATTGAAATGAAATACATGAACTCAGATGATACTTATAAGAAGTATTAAACTTTTTTTAAATAACAGAGCTTCTAAAATGTACCAGGAGGAAGACCATCCTCATTTCAGTAGATCTTCCACTACCTGTGCAATGAAAGATGCAGTATTTTGGTTGCTTGTGTTTCTGGGAGAAACAGAGTGATGGACACTGGTGAGCTTCTTTCAGTCAAGAAGGAAAATTAACAGAATAGTAGGGAGGAAAAAAGCAAAGTTGCTTCAGAAAAAGTAGCCTGATGCAAGTGTTCTTCCTTTAACTTAAAAAGCTTTAATTTTTGCTCTAGCCTCCAGAATTTTCTGCCTGTCCCCTAAATACTGATGAGGATGTGAATAACTGGCTCAAATTCTTTGAAATGAAGGCTCCACTGATTTGTCAGCCAGTAATAGTTTCCAGAGATCCGGTGAGTCTCTTTTTCTTATTTCTAAGTATAGACTGAGACCTATAATGAATTTTGGATGTGATTTTCAGTTCTAGAATGGGAGTGTGTATATATATTGTGTTCGACTCTTCCAGAGCAGGGGCAGTGATTGAGAAGTTTCTCATTTCTGTGAATTGTTTGAATTGAGGATAGGTCAATCTGTTCTGAAACCTAGTGGTTGTTCATAGTGGATTAAGTTAATGGTTCTGTTCCAGTTGCATGTATGCAAGTGTTTGCATCCTAAAGCCAACAGTAAGGTTTACATTCACTGCTGGCCACACTGGAGAAATGTCAAAAGCATGGAAGGTGGTTCAGCCACGTGTTTATGTAGTACACTTTCATAAGAACTCCCTCTGCTAATGCTGTGTCAAAGGACATGAAGCATGTGTCCTGTTCCTGATGTAAACTGAAGTCTGCAAAGTCTCATGCTGGAAATTTACCTAGAATCTTTCACAAGCACCAAACTCAACAGCAAATAATTTAGGATCAAAACCATTCTGGTTTCAAAAACCTTTAGTGTTCATAATTAGGAAAACTATTTGTTTAAAAGTAACCAGAAAGCCATAGATGAAAATGACTATTTTATAAGTAACAATGCAGTCATAAGTAATAAAAAAACGTTTTTCCAGAGGTAAGTGGGACATACTGTAGGCTTAAATATGTTAAAGGGTGTAATTTTATTGTGTCATTATGTGGCAGCCTTTGGCCTAAGGCTAAACTGTGTGTATCTTCACATAATCCACTGATGCACCCTTTCAAAGCGTCCACCGGCAGAGCCAATGCAACTTATGTGGTGGATGCCTCTGGGTTTCTCCTGTCTGCATGCACTGCAAGCTCAACAGCACTTGGCTAGGCCTGTGGTTTTGGAAATGTTTGAGTGTCACTATAGAGAGCAGTAGACAATGGCATTCTAATGCCACAGCGCTATTCATTTGTATCCCCTTGCAGCCCAGAAAACTGATCCTGTCCTGGGCTGTGTCAAACCAGGCGTGGCCAGGTCAAGCAAGGTGATTCTTTCCCTGATGAGACCCCGCCTGGAGTGCTGCATGTAGCTTTGGGGTCCCAAGAAAGATGTGAACCTGTTAGAGCAGGGCCCAAGGAGGGCTATGAAAATCAGCAGAGGGCTGGAGTACATCTTCCTATGAAGAGAGACTGGAAGCTGACGTTGTTCAGCCTGGAAAAGAAAAGGCTCCAGAAAGACCTTATTGCAGCCTTCCAGTACTTAAAGGAGGCTTTTAGGAAAGATGGAGAGAAACTTCTTACCAGGACATGTAGTGACAAGAGAAGAGGCAACAATCTTAAATTGAAAGGGAACAGATTTAAACTGGATATATGGAAAAAAAAATTTAGGTTAAGTGGGAAAAGGAAGTGGAACAGGTTTCCCAGAGAAGATCTGACTCCCCCATCTGTGGGAGTGTTCAAAGCCAGGTTAGATGGGGCTTTGAGCAAGCTGGTTGAATGGAAGATGTCCTGACCCATGACAGGGTGGTTAGAATATATGATCTGTGAAGGTCCCTATGAACACACCCGTTCAATGTTACATAAAACTGGTGATGTTGATCTCATGGTTTAGGATATTAGTTGCTATTTTAGTCACTGTTTTTCCCAAATTCATCTAAGCTGGCTCTCAAAATTGGAGTAGACAGTCCCTTCAGCACATGGGCTTGTGGCAATTCAGTGCAAAGAGGTTTAATTTCCAGTAGGGATTCCATTGGGATTAAATAATGTAAAGGGGAAGATTTCCAAATAATGGGGGGAAGGGGGTAAGGTTAAAAAGGAGATCTCAGTCAGATTGACACCAAAAGTTGGGCCTGTCAGGGTTTCTAAATTCTTTTGTCTTACTGGTTTCACAAGTGTCTTGCAAGTTTTCACTGCTTAACGTTTGGAGATGTGTGAAAACACGCATTAGGATAGACTGTCCTGCGACTTTTAAATGCTGTTGCCATGCGTTGTTGACCGGCCTGTCTGGTGCCAGGGGTTCGATCTGCGTGTGGAGCACACGCACTGTTTCAGCCACCACGGGGAAGGAGGGCACTACCACCAGGACACCAGCCCGGACAGCGTGCAGTACCTGGGCTACTTCCAGCCCGCCGAGCTGCTCTTCCGCATCGACAGGCCCCAGGAGACTCACCTCGTCGGGAGAGACTGAGCCCCGCGGGCCGGTTTAATCTTCCTCAAGTACAAATGCTGATTTTTGTAATGCTTCCAATGATGCACACTTGCCAGATTTAAGAATAAATATGAGAACTGTTAGCTGCCGCCTACTTAATTGTGTCAAAGGGCAGAACTCGGACCATCCGTGTCGTTGGGAGTTATGACGGAATTCAAACGGTAATTTAATGACAATGTTATTGTATGTTTTCCTTTTCTTTGGCTAAATTTCCTGCGTGGCCACAGCTGACGAGGGGGAACTAGAGGTGACACTATGTTTAGAATGGGACATGAAACCAAGTTTTGGCAAAAAATAAGGCCGTAAGAGAAAAAGGCAGCAGCTCCGAGTTTCTGCGCTCCGCCCCGTCCCGTCACCGCGCCGGCCCCGCCCCCTGGCAAGCGCTTATGGAGGCACCCGAGCCCGCTTGGCGCTAGCCCCGCCCCATTCCGAGTTCACTCCGGAAACGGCCGAGCCCGCCCGGCTTTGGCCCCGCCCCCTGCCGGGCCCGCCGGCGCCGGCCCGCCCCCTGCCGAGTGCGGGCGGGGGTCGCTGCAAGATGGCGGGCGTGCGGGCCGTGCGCATCAGCATCGAGTCGGCGTGCGAGAAGCAGGTGCAGGAGGTGGGGCTGGATGGCAGCGAGACGTACCTCCAGCCGCTCTCCATGTCCCAGAACCTGGCGCGCCTGGCGCAGCGCATCGACTTCAGCCAGGGCTCCGGCTCCGAGGAGGACGAGCCGGGCTCGGCGGGCCGCGCCTGGGCCGAGCCGGGCGAGACGGAGGATGAGGAAGGTGAGAAGGGCCGCCAGCCCGAGCTCCCCCGCCGGGATGCAGCTGGTGGAGGCCCGCGAGCCGTGGCCGTGCCGGCCTGCAGCTCCGCGGGTGGTTGGGCCGGGCCTGCCTTCCCCCAGGCGTTCCCATGGTGGGCAGGTCAGAATATTCGTGACCGAGCCTCAGTAAATTGTAGTGGGAAAGGACCACAGCAGATATGATATCGTGTTGTATTTCGTGCCGTTATGATCTCTGTGTGGTTTAAATATGAGTCTTACACCGTACCTTTTTAAAGTCCTTTGTTTCATTTTTAGGATTGGTAAAGTTTCAGCCATCCCTCTGGCCTTGGGATTCAGTGAGGAACAACTTAAGAAGTGCTTTGACTGAGATGTGTGTGTTGTACGACGTTCTTAGCATTGTGAAGGATAAAAAGTTCATGACTCTAGATCCAGTTGGGCAAGATCCCCTTCCTCCAAAACAAGTATGTTGTACCTAGTTGAGCACTTTGTGTGGCTTGATGCTAAAGATTTTATTCCAGAGTTTGTTTTTTTATGTGTGATCAGTACAAAATTTATCAAAATGTTCCTTTCGATGTGCTAGTGCAGTGCTTTGAGCATCACAGTAAGGCTGGGAATGGGACTTGAGGCAAATTTCAGAAGCCTCTTTGCTGGAGCTCTAAGTCAAAATGCTACTTCAGCTGAATAATGCTGGTATATGAAAGTAATCCTGAATAAGTTACTGGATATCTGGCAAAACCAACTTATCAATCACGATCAGTTAGTTTACAGTAATAAAAATAGTAGTAATAGTAGTAGTAGTAATAATAATAATAGTAATACTTTGTGAATTAAAGTGAAATGATCTCATTGTTGTTGGTACTAGAATCCTCAGTTTCTACAGCTGATTTCAAAAAAGAAGTCATTAGCTGGAGCAGCTCAGATCCTGTTGAAAGGTGCAGAAAGATTATCCAAATCAGTTGCTGAAAATCAGGAAAATAAGCGACAAAGAGACTTCAACTCTGAACTGCTAAGACTGAGACAACACTGGAAGCTGAGAAAAGTGGGAGATAAAATTCTTGGAGATCTGAGCTACAGAAGTGCAGGTAAACAGTAGGATCTTTTTCACAAGAATGGATATTTTATGAAATTGTCTTTTTGTAACTGGAAAAAGAGATGGAATATCTCATAATAAAAATTGCAGTGTGAATTTTTTATATTTATGAGACAGGTTTATAAAGGGAGAACTCTTGTTTTAGTGTCAGGGAAAATATCTTGCCATCTTCAATCCAGAAAGTGATTTTAAAGGCTCGCTGTGTAGTATTTTACTAAGGATTTGTTCCCAGAAACAATACTGCATTGCAATGTAGTTGATCAGTTGACAGGCAGACTTTGTAAATCCTTGGCTTTTATCTACATTTAGTGTGTAAAGCATTAAAAAAGTGAAGAGTTGGTTACATTTTTTTTAATCAAATATCAGAAAATCCTAGAATATCTCAAATTAGAAGGCACCCAAAAAGCTTTTGATGTCTAACTCCCTGCTCCCCAGAATTCACACCAGGTAAAACTAAACCATATGACTAAAGAGTGACGTTGAAGGTAGATCATGATTGCTATTATTCCTACAGTTGAGAAGTGATGCTGAGAATATGCCTTAATTCATGGGTTACAGTTAAAGGGGGTGACCAGCCCAGGGTTCTAGGGGCCACTATGGAGTGACTAAGTGAATATAGAATCACACAGAACTTAGGATATAGGTACAAAGCAGGCATCAGAACAGGACTCCACTGGTGAGGGAGAGGACAGACAAACTTAGATTTGTTCATGAAAAGGCTTTATATGTACCCCAGGTTATGTATTATTTTTAGCTGATTTACCCTGAACTAGGTGAACTGTGCCCTGGATGAAAAAGGTGTAAACTAGTACAGATCTGTCTATCTGCTTTTATCAGTCTCTGAATAATTTGCTACAGAGTTACCTTTTACTGTCAGAACATGGTCATAGTTTTACAACTTCTAGACAAACATCATCAGAATTCCCTTAAATCATTAAGGGATGTTGTACCTTTAACTACCTGCTTGCAAAACTTCACAAATTTACTTTTGTCTTTTTTTTAACCAAATCTCTTTTTTTCTCCTTCCTTGCACATATGACTCAATTTTGAAAAACTTTTGGCTTCCCCCCATAATTATTAAATACTCTGTGTTAACTTACTGTGAAATATTACACATTGCGTGGTGGAGGACTGAGATGCTGATGCAATGCCATGAGCTTTCTAATTTACCTGGGTTTTTTTTAAGATGTCATTAAGAAATTTGAGTCAAGTGCAGCTCTGAAGATTTGGAGACTCAAAAATACATATTCTTCCAAAACAGAGATATTTGCAGAATATTTGCACTTAATATTTAATGTGTATGTCTTTGTTCTTCTTTACTCAGGCTCCCTTTTTCTTCATCATGGCACATTTGAGGTGATAAAGAACACTGACATTGACCTGGATAAAAAGATACCTGAGGATTACTGTCCTTTGGATGTTCAAATTCCAAGTGATTTAGAGGGATCAGCATACATCAAGGTTTGTCAGAGAAACCTTAATATCCTAGTGGAGTTTTGTTTCAGATTTGTATGCTTGCAACAAAGAACAAACATTAAATACTGTTCTCTCTTTCCTAGGTTTCTATTCAAAAACAAGCACCAGACATTGGTGACCTCGGGACAGTCAATCTCTTTAAAAGACCCTTGCCAAAATCAAAACCAGGTATAGCTTATATGTTTTATGAATGTATTCTCAAGGAATAAGTTTGCATATGATGCTTGTTTGAAAATTTCAGTATACAGCTGGAAAGAAGAGTGAATAAGACTTCCCTTATATAAACTGAAATTTTCTGTTTGGCTGCTGCTTGGGCTTTGGAAATCATGCTTTCAAGGCATGCCTATTCAGTTTTTCGTATGTGTTTATTCAGTTCTGAAACAAAAGTATTAGGGTTGTATTTTGAGTATTCTGGAACCCCTTTTATTAGACATTAAAAGTTTGAGCCCATAACTGAAATCCAACCAAGGTGTTGTATTTCAGTCAGTTACATCCCATTAATTGAGTTGAGGTAATGATTGTTTACTTTTAACTCTGCCCAAAGTGCAGAGTTATAATTAATCATTTGTGTCTATTGCTCATATGTTTTATCTGGATCTAAAACTGCTGATGGTCTGTGTGGTATGTACCAACAGCTCACCTGGCAGATAGTAAGTACATTGATTCATTTAATATGTGCTCTTTTACACTTTAAAGGTAGAAATAAACCGGCAGGATTTTATTTCACGGTGGTCTGTGATATAGATGCTGGTGCTGTCCTGAACATAGACATGCTATGCTATGAGGTGTTTTGTATGGTATTGAGGGTACATTATACAGCTTGTGTGCTTACTCACTCCAGAATCACCCAAGAATTTTGGCCCTATAAACCCTGTGAAAGCACATACATGCACTGAATATTATTGGGTAGTTCATCATAGAGTGAATTTAATAAAACCAGAAGTATCATTGAAAGTAACTTACAACTGAAGGAGCAGAAGTTCATAAGGAGAGTTTGCAAAAGGCATGGAAGAGTGTAATACACTCTTCCATAAGGGTATTGCACTTCACAATATATGTAAAATTGAATCAAAATTAGTTCTAGTTTTACCTTAAAGTGCTTGCTTAACTGAGATAAAATTCTGATAATATTCAATTTGGGTATAAGGTACTGACTGCTTTATCTTAGTGATCACACCTGGCTACTGCATAGTATCTGGCATCTGAACAAAAAAGTGGCTTCTCTTTGCTCTTCCCTCCTGCAGATATTGATTTATACTTTTCAGGTTCTGCACATTGGCAGACAAAGTTGGAGACTGCACAGAATGTTCTTCTATGTAAAGAAATTTTTGCCCAGCTGTCACGAGAAGCTGTTCAAATTAAATCACAGATTCCTCACATTGTAGTGAAAAATCAGATAATCTCCCAGCCTTTCCCAGGTAGGAAGCTTTTCAAGACTCTTAACCTACAATTATTTGCTTAAATAGTGATTGATGTCACCTTTTTAAATATTCAGTCCTTACAAAAGAAAAAACAAATTCCTTGATTTTCAAAGGTTTTGAAAAACAGAATTTCAACTAATGCACAGTGGTTTCTAATGTACTCTGTTTTCCTTTGTGGTTATGCTTTTTGTCAGCACAAAACTGTCAGCTGTAATGACATGTGCATGTGGCATTTTGGAGCTTTGCATAAGTCATTGCTCCTGGATTGCATACAAAAAGAAATTTAAGACTTGAATTTATGGGTCCTCAGAAGAACAAAAGCAAATGCTCTTCAGTGAGAATAATTAAACACCATAAATGTGGCTCAGGGTTGATGATGAATCCTCTCTTCTTACAAGGAGTATGCAATTGATTATACCATGCAAAGAATGTATTTCTGCATTGCTTAAAATGTGTATGATGGTTAATCACTCCTTCTTTGAGAAGGGAATGGGGTCCTGGAAACTTCTCTTTTTGTGTGGGATTAAGTCATAGAAATTGATATGAAATGCACCTGGTGAGTTCACAGTTGGCCTGTCAATGCTTCAGTGAATATCAAGTTTTATGTGCCTTTAGTACTTTGCTCTCTACCATCATTCTTTTGATTTTTCTGATACAGTGAATATCTGTTGTTAAACTACGGAGTATAAATATAATAACTAACAATAAAAATAATATTTACATATTATATACAAATATAGTACTGACTTTATACTGAGTATAAAACATGAGGAAAAGCAGTTCTCAGTAGCAACCTTGAAAATTATCAATGCTCACTTTTTAAAATATTTTTTTTCCATGTACTCTGTACAGGTTTGCAGTTGTCTATTTCTCTGTGTCACTCTTCCAATGATAAAAAGTCACAAAAGGCTGCTTCTGAAAAACAGAATCCAGAGGATCATCTCTATGTTTTGGAACATAATTTGCATCAACTTATCAGAGAGGTACTGCATCTTTGGCTGAAGCATTGAAGATTTTTTGGGCTTTGTTCAGCCTTCTGCCTAGTGTGTGGTGCTGCTATAACAGCTGAGTGCCACTAGAGGCCAGTCCTTCTCTATCCATTTGTGGAATGCAGCCTACTGCTTGGTTTCCATGGGTGCGGGTGGTTTGGGAGTTCCAGTTAACGCTTTCATGCAGTGCTGGTTCTTCACTTAACCTCAGACCTGGCTGCTCACTTCAGAAAAGCCATGCAAAGCTTTTCCAGTAGAGTTCATCCGTTCTGCCTTTTTTTTGTTGTGTCTAATAGTGCTTACCAAGCACTGTCAGTGAACGTCTGGTCAGGCCGTACCCTCATGAAGGAACAATCAATTGCCATAATAGCTTTGTTTATTTTAAGGTCCACTTCTCTGCTTCAGCATTTTAGATTCTTGTATGATTTAGCAGAATAACTTGGGGTACGAGGTTAAGGTTGTGTCTCCTCACGAAAGAAGCAGAGGTTTGCATCTTTAAGTAGAATTGAAGCCATGTTCCAGAGAGTGTTCCCCTCCTTGGAGCATGGCTCTGCAAGTCATGCAGTCATGTGTAACAGTCCAGTATTTTAAACACTGATTGAGGATTCATGAAGCTTTGGCTCAGTGCCCACCTTTCCTGTCAATTTCCTTTCTTTCCTTTGGACAGGTTGCTAAAACTTTTTGTACTTCACTTTTTTTTCATCTAAAATGCTTCCCTTATTTTTAAGTGACCATTCTTTCTGTCTCCATAGACATATATAAAGAAGACTTAATAGGAGCTACTGCCCTGCTACCAAAGTTTTGTTAGCTAACACTTTTTTTTAAATTACTTTCTATAAGGTTTGAAAGACATCTATAAATGGGGGGAGTATGAAAAACTGTCTTTAGAGTGCTGTCAGGTTGATAAAAAGTTGCACTTTTTGAAAGTATGTACATTCAAAACACCTGATGTGAAGCAACATACTGTAGTATACATAGTATATCTTGCAGATATGTTATTTGGTCCATTTCTTTTATAACATCTGTTGGTTGTTGTAGTGTCACAAGCAAACCTTGAGCTCGACAGTGATGCCACATCCAGCTAGTGCACCTTTCGGCCATAAGAGAATGAGACTTGCAGGGCCCCAGGCTTTTGATAAAAATGAAATCAGTTCTTTACAGTCAAATGAAGGCCTTCTGGAAAAGATCATAAAACAAGCAAAGCATATATTTTTGAGACGAAGGTGGGTCACAAGATACTCTTGTTACATTAACATGTACCATTATGCATAATACAATTGATCTGTTTTAAGTGTTCCTAAAACTAGCTGCTGTTTCCTTCATAGTTAATACAGTCTTTTTTTGTAAGTACTAAGAACCAAAAATTATGAAAAAATACAAGCAAACAAGGCTCAGCTAGTTAAAAGAAAAAATATCAGATTTCTTTGAGATCTCTGTGAAGTGGCAACATAAGCTGCTGATAATTGTCCCTACTTACCTCAAACTGTATAAATCCTTTTTTAGTGTTCTTTGCGGTGCAGTAGCTGGTACTGAGTAATACCACTTCAATACTGCTGGAGAATGTATAAGAAATGTACAGAATAAACAAGTGTAGTTTATTCACACCAGAACAGTGCTGAAATAGAATTTTGATCCACATGTTTCTGTTAAGTCTAATAACCTCCTTGCTTCCTGTAAGCAAGATAACAGCACAAAGTGCCTGGATTATTGTGTGTGGAATATGGCTTTATCTTCTAGAACTGCTCGAACCATTGACAGTCTGGCAAGTCGTATTGAGGATCCTCAGATTCAAGCTCACTGGTCCAATATCAATGATGTTTATGAATCCAGTGTTAAAGTTCTAATAACTTCTCAAGGATATGAGCAGATATGCAAGTAAGTATGAGAATGCATGTCCTTTCAGTTGTAGAAGCATGAAGCGAAGGCATCATGTATTCACATTGCACTTTAAAGGTTTAGATTCTCTTCAGACAGATGAGTAGGAGTCCATTATTTGTGTGTGTTTGTTTTTCTGACTTGACTGTGGGTGAACAGTCACCTTAAGAAAGCTTCACCCACTTTACCCCTTAATGAAGTTACTTAGTACATCTTTAATAAGTACAGTTTCCTTTCAAAGAAGAAAGTTGAGAGTGGACACATGGCAGTGGATTTACTTTGTGTAGAGATGACTGAATTCAAAATATCGTTTGATGTTCTGGAATCTGAACTTCCAGTCTGGTCATGGAAAGCTGATCTGTGCTCAGTCCTAGCTTGGTTGCATAGGTACTGAAATGTGGAACTCACGTAATTAATGCGATAATTATTTCAGTTGTTACCGAAATATGAGATTTCATGGTTCAGAAATAAATGCCTGCAGACTGACCAGCTGTGAATTCATTAATGCATCAACAGTAGTTTTTTCCATTCGGAGCAGTGCTCTCTGGCTGTGACCACAGTGTGGGGCAACCTGCAGTCATTGGTGTATTTTCAGTCTTGGTTCCAGAGTACAAGCACTGTCCAACTCTTGTCTGTTGCATTGAACACACCATTTTCCCCTGCACAACTGGGATGAAACTTGGGCACAGGGGCAGGCAGGCAGGTGAGGCTTCCTTGACCTGAACAAATGGTAGGCCAGGTCTGAGAGCATGCCACAGAAAATGTCACCTGCCATATAGAGGAAGCTGTTGTGCTGACTGATGAAGCTGGAATGTTTAGAGTTGGTGTCACATTCTGCAGGCTTTGTACTATCTGTCTTAAGAATTTTTTTCAATGACTGGGTGGTATTCTGTGTTCTTAGTTTCCTGTTTTCTTAAGTGTTCTAATGCTTTTTAAATAAATACGGATCTTGTCTTCAAAGATCCATTCAACTGCAGCTGAACATTGGAGTTGAACAAATCAGAGTTGTGCATAGAGATGGAAGAGTTATTACATTGTCCCATCAAGAGCAAGAACTGCAGGATTTCCTTTTATCCCAGGTAGACTCACGTATGTTATTCTTCTCTTTCTTGTGATGTTTGAGAAACAGAAGAAATTAGAATCTATGTTAGTTTTATCTATGTAGAAAATATTTATAAGTTCAAATTAAGATAGTGAAGAAGGGAAGCTGGATGACTGAGTTTTCACTATGTTTGTGGAGACTCTTTAGCAACTGTTACTAAAATACATTGCCATTTATTAGTAGGGTCAGTAGTCATAATAATTTTTCCCTCCCATTTAAAATGCATTCCTTTATGCTGCTCTTTATGGGGAGAAGCAAGTCAGTGGTAATCCTAGCAGACAATAAGGTATTCTATGTATGAAACTTACTGTAGCCAAGTTCTTAATGAACCCACAATTACTGTCATTTCAACATTGTTAATGCTCACTTAGCATCTGTCGTTACTAAATCAGCTGATACTTGAATGAACTCTGTTTTCTTAATTGCTTTGAACAACTTGCTGGTTTTATTCAGAAGTAACAATCTCCCCACTATGCATTATAAATAGTCAAAATACAGGTCTTTAATAACAGTAGTTGGCCTGTTGCAGTTATATAAAACTCCATGACACAGGAAACAAGTCAAAACAGATTCTGCTGAGGTCGTGTCTTTTTGGTCAAGTGTTGTCAGACTTGTTCACAGAGAACTGCTGAACAGTGCTGGATACGTCCTTTTAACAAGGGTTAAGTCGTGATACAGGAAAACAGTAGCATTTAAGCTCCTAAGTTGTTAGAGCTCAGTGCTTACACTTGAGCATTAATGGAGATAATCAAGCATGTGAGAACCTCAACATTTTTTTTCTGAATATTCTCTGGTAATATTTTCTCATATTTTTATATATTTTACAGCAGAAGTCTTGTTCCTGTTGAAAGACAGGATTGTTTACAAATAATTTTTTGAGACCTAAATTGAAAACAATACTTAAATAAAATGGCTAAGTGCATGTACCTATGAAAAATTCATTTAACTGCATAATAGAGTGATCTTCTTTGAATGTGAAGTTACTGGTCTAAATTGAAATAACACAAAGCTCTACCATTACGTAAAGAAAAGTTCCCCTGAAAGTAGAGAACTTAAAGTCACTTTTATAACCATTGTACAGAAAACAGGCTTGCTAAACCCCATAAGCAATTCTTTCTGTGGCCTGCAAATATTGAACAGAAAACAAACCTCTTGTTATGTTTCAGATGTCACAGCACCAAGTACATGCAGTTCAGCAGCTTGCAAAAGTTATGGGATGGCATGTGCTGAGTTTCAGTAATCATGTTGGTCTGGGGCCAGTGGAGAGCATTGGCAATGCATCAGCAATAACTGTAGCATCACCAAACGGAGACTATGCTATTTCAGGTAGTGTTTCCTCTTGCAAATAGAAGTCAAATCTTTCTGAGAGTGTTCATAGAATATTTTACTATCAATTGATACTATGCTCTAAAAGTCTAGATACTATCTTTTGTGTAAGGAGTTGATATCTAAATAAAATCAACACCTTGCCCAGGAAGCCACTTAATATAACCTGATTTAATTTACACAGGCTTGAAAATATTTCTTACAGTTACCATGGAAAATTACATATATATATATATATTCTATAGTATGTATAATATGAATACATTATTTAAATATATAAATATTATACTATATATATAAATGTTTGTTTATATAATATAAAAGTATATATAATTAATTGCATGTATTATTATTAGCATAGAAAAAAGAGATTACAGAAACCATCAGGATCCTGAGAGAAGGGAACAAGATAAACAACAGGATCACAAGTCCAAACTTAGGGAGAGCAGAGTTTCGTCTCTTTAGGGATATTTTCGTCTCATTAGGGATATTTCGTCTATTTAGGGATATATTTGGGATGGAAAGAAGAGGGGTCCAGGAGTGCTGTTTGATTATTGTTTTCAAGGGTCATCTCTTTCAGGCTCAAGAATGGTCATTCCTAATATTCAGGAAGTTAAGCAATGGTGACAGAAGACTTGTGTGCATGAAAAAGGAGCTCATGAGTGAACTTAAGACATAGGAAGGAAGCTTCAAGAGATTATAGGTAGTTGACTTGGGAGTGGTATAGAGAGACTATCCAAGCATGCATTGGTAAGGATAGGAAAGCTAAGGATATGATAGGAAAGCTAAGGATAGGATAGGAATCTAATGGGGATGTATAGGGCAGCAAGAAGAGCTTCAACAGGTATGTCAGCAGCACAGGAAAGATTAGGAAAAATGTGGGACTGCTGTTAAACAGAGAGTACCTGGTGGCACAGGACATGGAGGAGGCCAAGGTATTCAGTACCTTCTTTACTTTGGTCTTAAGACTGCTCTTCAGACTGTGACACCCATGGGAAATTTTGGAGCAAAGATTCAGACTTAGTGGAAGACCAGGTTAGAGAACCTTTGAACAGACTTAGACATACACAGTTCATGGGACCAGGTGGATGACGGCTGAAGGAGTTGATTGATGTCACTGCAAGGCCAGTCGTGATCATCACTAAAAGGCCAGGCTCAGGAAGGGCTCCTGAGGACTGGAAGAAGGCAAATGTTACACCCTGTATTCAAGAAGGAAAATGTGGGGAATTACAGTCTGATCAGTCTCATTGCAACTGAGAAGATGAGGAAGAAAAAAGTAGTCTCAGAAGAATTTTCCAAACGTACTATGGAGAATGTGGTGATGGGGAGTAGTTGGCATTAATTTATGAAAGAGAAATTATGTTCAATCAGCCTGATAGTCATCTCTTCATAGAAGGTTAGCTCAAGGGAAAAGCTAGGTGGTACTTCTCTATTTATTTAAAAAGCCAACACATACCACTTCCCAACATGAAAACACACCCATCCAAGACAACAAAGCAGCACCACCCCTCCACCAGTCTCACAGAATTTTGTGATTAAAAGTAACTGCCTAGCGATGTAGATCCTGTCTATTTGAGATAAATAGAAACAATACATTTTTCAACAGAACATCAAGGAGTACATCCAAGGGAAGAATGAGCAATGAAGCCTTTGCCCTTCCTGGCATCATTGGGGAAAGAGAAATGTATTTGTAAGGTGTTCATTTTGGGGTTTATTAAAAGTTTCTCTGTCTTAATCTAAGCAAAAACATGCCATGCTAAAGCAACAAAATCATAGAGAAGTGGGAAACAAGACAAAATCCAGAGAAAAAGCTTAGAAAAAGAAAGGAAGGGAATTTCCCTTGTTTGCTTTCAGCATGTTTGGAATTGAGTAGGAATAAAATATAGAATACACAAGGAAGAATATTTAATATGAGGAATTCATACAGTGTAAAAATGCTCATTGAAATTTCTCCTTTTGCTACAGTACGTAACGGTCCAGAAAGCGGCAGCAAAGTCATGGTTCAGTTTCCACGGAGTCAGTGCAAGGATCTCCCCAAGGGCGATGTCCTTCAGGACAGCAAGTGGAATCATCTCCGGGGGCCATTCAAGGAAGTGCAGTGGAATAAAATGGAAGGGCGTAACTTTGTGTATAAAATGGAACTCCTCATGGCTGCCCTAACTCCTTGCTAGTGAAGCATCAAGCCTCTCTCTGAGGGCTTAGAAGCGTCTCTGTGCAATGATAACTGCTCGTGCAGCAAAGGGAAATGGGAGCTATGGGCCAGTACAAGAAAGCAAAATCAAATTTATTTCCTATACAGAAATAGCCATTTTGGTATTTGTAATAAAACCTTTTTCAGTGGCATATAAAATACTTAAGATTTTTTGTAAAAGTTCCTTTCAGCTGTATCTTTGAAAACTGCTCTGTCCAGAGGGACATAGATGAGTAATTAATGTATTTTTTGTTGATAAGATTAAATTTGGTAGCCCTTGAGTTGAAGCATTCTTGAGTTGGAATTTGTTTGTAAATTGATGATGATTTTGGGTGACACCTTTATTTTTGAGAAATATGTTTACTTGGTAGTTGAACTTGAGATGCTTCATTGCCTGTGGCAAAAGTCTTTCCTCTCTGATGGCCTGTGTTATGTCAGCTATTTTGCTTGTTTTTTGACCTCTTTTTTTCCAAGAATATAGAGGAAAGGGTCTTACTTGGCTTGCAAAGTTCTGACAGTTTGAGTTTGTGGGTGACTTGTGGCTTAGTGACTGGATAGAAGGAGGTAACTCCTGTAGTAAACCTCCACACTTGTGCACCTGGATCTTTCTCCTGCATTCTCCATTATTATCATCCAGGGAAATTATAATATCTTTCCAAATATCAGCTCTTTAGAGTTTTTTAAAATGAAAAAGTCACATTTTTTACAGTTTTGGTTGCAATTATAACCCTCCTGAAAATTACAGTATGGTGTTCGACAAAGCTTTCATTTTGTTTGGTACTTAAGTGTTAAGGGTGTTTTTGCAACTTGTCTGTGTGAACTGGTTCATATTCATGTCCATATTGTCTTATGAGGTGTCTGTCTATATGTATATACATGAACTTCTTGCACATAAACGTGTTTGAATTGAACATCACAATTCCATGGTGACAGTTGTTATTTTGTTGTATTCTCAAGTATGAAGAATAATTGCAGGAAAATAAGCAGCAAGCTGCTGCTCAGCATGTATCCAAAGCAGTTCTTGTTCTTACATTGCTGTTGCCCAGCACAGAGCATCTTGTTTCAGTTCCTGCTTGTGTGTGACTGAACTAAGTGAGAGAAAGGGTTTTCCATTCAAGTGCTCACCTGTTACCCAAGACAACTGACGAAAATTAAAAGCCCTAGTTTAAAATAGTCTCCTGATGTTGCAACAGGGCTGAGCCTAATGTAACCCCTGTGATGCCAGGTCCTGTATTACTGTGCCAGCAGACACTCTGTGATTACAGACAGGGGTGGGGGGGTTGTTCCTTGGTGAACAGTTCAGCCAACAGATGTTTTCATGCATCCGACTAGATGAGGCTGTTCTGACTCCTGCCAACGCAACAAATCTCTTATTAATAATTAGAGGTTGAGTCTGTGAAACTTGAACGTGTCTTTACACTTTATTGCTCTTAACCTAAATTGACAGGTCTGCATGTAGCAAGAGCTTTTTCATCAAGGAAGTTCTTCGTTACCAAGTAATCAGATCACTCTGGAGATACTACAATCTCATGGCTGCAGGACTTCTGTCCTGAAAAGGAGGACATCTGTGTTGCAGAAGGGCAAGCTCTGCATATCAGCATGAAAACACTTGTCTAGACTTCCAGGTTTAGCTTAAAAAAGAATAATAGTAATAATAATGATGAAAAAAAAATATTAGAGACCTGGAGATACAGTTTTGGTGTTTAATATACAGGGATTCCTAATTTTAATGGAAAACAGACTGATTAGACATCTAAGAGAGACAGTCTTGAAACTTGTTAGTGCATCTTTGATATGAAATGATGACATTAGTGAATGATTAAGAACTTTTCAATTGATTGCCAAAGCAATCTTGGTTCATCTTGGTGAACCTGGTGTCCTGGTGAATTTGGGCACCTCTTTAATGCAAGTTTAAAAATAAAATGCCTTAATCCCTTTGATCATCTAGAATGCTCTAAATATTAAATTTGCTGCTGTTCTGCAGAGTTTACAAGTATAGTAAGAACAGCTGTTAGTTTCTGAATTTCTACTGTGACAACCTTCCATAATACTTTAGATGCTCCAGGGTAGCAAGAAACTGCTGCAGTTCAGCCTCACATTCTGTATCTCAAATACTGACTAACATAATTTTCAGGAAAATGTATTTTTAAAGTAACATTACCTGTGTAGAGTAAGCATGTTAAATGGTGGGTAAAATTTGTGGATGAGGGGTTGTCTATAAGGAAAGCTATCTACAGGCTAACAGTACTGGATGTTCTCACTGAATACTGTTTGAGTCCCTGCTGTTCATATGGGATATTGCTGCCTAAATGCAAGGTTGGCAGCAGGTTCAGTAGCCAAGGATGGGTGCCTGAAGTTGCAGTGACTTCAGCCAAGCTGGAAAAGGTAGAACTGTACTACTTGTAAACTTCTTTTGTTGTAGAGCATTTTAAACTGAAGAATTTTAAGTATTCATTTCCTACTTTCATCCCAGCTTTCAAACATTGTGGTTTAAATGTGTGTGTGACCTCTGCAATCACAGCAGTGCACTGGAATGGTCATTCATGTCTGGATTTGTTTCCTGACTTCCTCTGGCAATTGTTCAGGCCAGTGTTAGCAGATAATAGTAGTTTTATGTGTAAGCTTCACTTTTTGTACTTTCTAAGTCTGGCAGAGCACCTGCTATATGTTCAGTTCAGCCTAATACCTAGCTTCACATTCAAAGTGCTTTAATGATTTTTGCTTTAGAAGTCTAAGATTCATTCAAAGTCTAAGATTTAGGGCCCTAAAAGAACCCCTAACAATGTTTTCAATTTTCTATAAGCATACTTTACCAAGTAATTCAAGTTTGGTGATTGAAATAGATGCAATTACAGTTCCCCTGTTGTCAAAGCTCAGTTCACTCAAAGACACAAAATATGGGCAATACACATTTAAAGCAGAGAATTGGAATAAACTGTTTCTTTTCTGTGCTGTATCTGATACTTATTTCATTTCTCACCTTTTTTGACCTGTTCTAAATGTAGGAAGGAGCAAACAGCTGAATTTGGTACCTCAGTTTATGAGTGGGAGAGAGGCCCATTGTACTAGAAATGGCCAGCTCAGTATGGGATGGCTTAAAGGTATTGGGCACACGTTGCTTTGGCTTGTTTGGCACCTACCTCCATCATTATGCACTTGGTGAGAAATTCCATGAACGTTTTCCCAAATGGAGCCCATAGGACCTCTGCACTTGAGCATCCCAGTCCCTGACCAGAGGGAAAGCTCTGACAGCCTGTCCTGTAAAAGGCTTTTGCAAACAAATGAGATGAAGTGTGCCAAAGGTAGGAACAGCAGTTTGACTCAAACAGCCACATGGCAATCTACAGGCGCAGACTAGTCCATGGTGTCTTCCAAGTTCAAAGTTTATTTCACACTGCAAAATGCTCATTACAAAAGCAAAACAGAATAATTTGGAACTTGGTCAGTTTACTGCTTTCTCACTGACAAACACAAATATTATTTCACCCAACAGATCTACAGATGGAGAATTGTAATATGTGCAATATGCAGATTCAAGAAAACATTAGTTAGGTCACTTCATATTTTCTTACAACATAGGGAAAGCAAAGGTGGTATTTCAACAAGAGCAATTTTAGAACTGTATTTGTAAATACTGTATTTCAAAGTAAAGCTGTTTTAATTTTTCTGATAGATTGTTCATCACTGGGCTATGTTTGCAAAGGACATCTTTCACAACAAAACTGTTCAGTACTTTGCCACCCCACTGGTGTTGTATCAGTATTTTATATTTATATATCTGACCTTCCTAATCTTTATAGACAGTGTCCTCTTTAGTGCCTGCCTACACTGTTCCTTGTACAACCACCTGCTCTAGTAATGTCATAAAATGTGTGTTAACATCCATCCTGGGGCAGTGTAAACAATTGGAAACACAAGTGGGAGAACTTTGACCAGCTCAGCATTCTTTCAAAGTCAGTTTTGTCTCATGAAAAATTGTACTTTGTCTTCAGAGCTTCAGGAAGCTCCTTACACACAAAAGTAGCAGCACAGGTGCAATAAACAGGATTCAATGCTTGCAATTAATTTTTTAATGTAATACTGTAATTAGATATTTAATTTATTATGTTGATGGATGCTAATGACCACTCTGTCTGTCATAGGAGACTTGCTGTATCCAAAATACAGGTGTCCTTCAAGACCATGATAATTTCCTTTATGGGTTGATCTTAGAGGCTTGGTTGGTTGGTTGTTTTCAAGAGTGGTAGAGGCTGTAGATTTTATTAGCTAGCCACAAAAATGTGTTCATGAAGCATACTCTTTTTTACTCTGACCTTGACTAGCAGAACCGAAAATTTACCAGGTCAAAACAGCTCCATCAGACATTGCTGCTTTAATTACTTTGCAAGTCAGGATGTTCCTGCAGTAGTCACAAACATTTTACTTTCTAGGTTTGTTCTTGCTTTCTTGGCCAATACTTTCTCCTGAGGTAGAATTGTTATTATGATACAGTCCTTGGCTAACACTCAATGGTTTCCAGTTCAATCTCTTCTCTTGTACTTGCTGTAAATAAAAGGATATTGTTAATTGATTGGCAAATGGATTGGAAGGCAAACATTCCAAAATTAACTGTGCCGAGATGTTTTCAACTTTTTAATATTAGCTCAACCTTGGTCATCTAAAATTAGGTTTTAAATACATATTTTCAAAATATTTAACTGCATAAAGAGGTTCTCACAATCTTTAAAGTGACAATGATCTCTTCCAGTACAAGGGTAAAGGCACTAAGAAAACTAAGTCCATAGGGCCGGCTCTTACATCTCTCTTCAAGATTTCTGAAAGATGGGCTCTTCTGAGATACAACTGGGGCAGAAATTAGGTCTCTGCTTCAGACCATTTCCTGGGACATCACACAACAAATTTCTAGAACTGTGCTTTCCTGAACTCTGCCATATGTTACATCAAAATGTCTATTCAGTTCAGCTCTGTGGGAAGATTGGCTTCCGCTGGAGGAAGAGGCTTTAAACAAAATCCTGTATATTCTGGCATGATAGGAAAGTTTTCAGTAGCTACAGAAGCTTGTGAGTGGTGTATACACCATGAAAGCAGCAGCAGCCCTTAAGAGCTTTAGGTGAGTGACAGGAGGAGGCAGCTCAAACCAAGTTAATTTCTTCTTTTAGGTTTTGCAGAGTTGACACGAAGTCTGGGCCATGAATCTTAGAATGCTTGTCTGTGTTGGTCTAGCAAAATACTGATAGTTAGGCTGCTTGTTGTAATGTAACACATTATAGAAGAAATACAGACCTTTTACCTAGAGGGCAAGAATCCATGAGTGGATCTGCACTTAGAAAGAAGGGAGGTAAATATCTGAAATATTTTGAAGTGTTAAAGAAAACCTCCCATTTCCAAGATGTGCCTAAGAGCTTCATCCCAGGCCCATAACGTGCACCTTGTCTGCCTAGGCCAAATATCCCTGTCAGTGGCTTGGAAATTTCTTCTCTTAATATGTCCCTTCAGTGTAGCCCTTGTGTTCCCCTGACCTGCTTTTCGTGACTGTTGTCTTCGGTGTCAGCTTTTGGTATTACTCAGTATTCGTTGGAGTCTGCAACTGAAGCAAAAGTGTACAGATGAAGAGGGGGTTTGACAGGAGGAGATGAAATCCTCCACCGAGGACTGAACTGAGGTAGGGGCCACTCTCAAGGGTCATTTGAATATTTTCCCCTAGAATACACCCTCCTGATGTGAACTCAGAGTTGCTCGTGCTCTTGACTTTGTCTCCTGCCCTTTGAGGGGGGGTCATTGCAGCTCTGGCCTTTTCTCCCCAAGTTTTGCAATCAGCCATGTTGGGAAGTATTTTATTATTTCTAATGTGAAAACATATAAGGTAAATGTCCTGTGGATTGTTCTTCAACTAGACACCTGTTATTCAGTTCCTTCAGCTAGTAAGGAGTTAGAACAGGATAACTTATCTGAGCCCTTCAGTCTTGTTTCTCAGTGGCCCTGTTTAGCACATTTATGGTACAAATTTTAGGCTCAAATTTCAGGCTTGAAGACTCTATGCCCTGACTAAATTTTTAGAGAAATACCTGTTAGTTTGTGTGTTGTTTTCTTCTGAAATAGATGCAGAGATTTATTACACAGCCACATGAAGCAGATTAGAATGGCAGATACTGCAGCGAGAAATGTGAAGAGAACTGCTACAAAATGCAAATCTTCATAGATAATCTCTGTAGGGAAAATGAAAAAAGAATTAATATTATAAAATTGATTACAAGCAGACTGATGCTGAAACACAGGGTAAAGCCAAGAAGTCCCATCTAGTTTGTACCGTAAACATTGACTATGATGGTGCCATAGGCATTGGTTCCATGCTCCTCCATTACAGTGACAAAATAGTAGCCAGCATCTCTCATGCCCACATTCCGAAGCTGTATAGAACCGTTTTCAAAAGTAGTCACTCTGTCCTTGTAGACCGTGGATATGTTGACATAATTCCCACTTCTCCACTCAACAATGCTGGTGGTGCCCCAGCTTGACACATGCTTCCACTCAATGGTAGCCACGCCTCGGCAAGAGTATTCAACTGAGAGGAGGATGTTTTGTGCCACTGTTGCATTGATGTTGGGTTGTGGGACAACTAAGGATACTCCTCCAGGAGCTGAAAGACAAAGGAGAGTGGTAAGCCTGGAAGTGATGCTGCACCAACAGTCCAGGGCAGATTGGGATCTCTGTATCCTGGTGATTTATCCTACCTATCTCAGCTATCTGTTTTAAGAAAGGATACATTATGCTTTTCAATACCTTTTTCTTTCTGCTTTCCATAGAAGTAACATACATACTTGAAGACTAAGCACACATTTATAATTTGTGATAGTAAAAATGCTTCCACCATAGAAGACACATAATTGAATGTGTTTCAATGTTTTAACACCACATAGAAAGGGACTTTGGATAAGCATAACATTTTCCAAAAACTGAGCAATGTTCTTTTGTTCATCAGTAACTGGCTTTCTTTTAAAATCCTGCATTTACATGGAAAGTTTAGTCGCCATGTCCAAGGTAATCTATCATAGTCATTAACTACCATCCCCCAAAAGCAAGAACTGTAGTAGGTAGAAGTATGTGAGGTCTTGGCAAGGACTTTGTCATGTTTTCAGTATATGTAATCAACATTAGAAATATGAGCTTCTTAAAGGTGGACAGTTAATAAGCCAGTGCAGATAAATCACATGTAACCAAAGGTTTCATGTTTCATGAGAAGCCAGGGACTTCATGTTCCTGATGATATCCGATCAAAAATGCATATAAAAGAATATTTAATTCTCACCTACTTCCTCCTGATGTGATAACGTAGCTGTTCATGACACTGTGAAACTGAACCGACGGCTTAGTTTAATGTGTAACTGCAATAATTTCTGCTTGCATTTGGTGTTTCTGCATGAAGATTTGGATGAACACCAAGATCGGAGTTTTAACTGGCGTATATTTTTTCTTCTTATTAGTGGCTCGTTTGAGACCCTTGGCTAAAGACTGAAATCTTGTTATCTACCCACAAAAATCAAAGCAGACGAAAGGCAGATAAAGCACAGAGTAAGGCTTTTTCCTGGTTTGGCTTGAAGCAGCTCACCTGCTCTAGTCTCTTACTGTGGGAACAGCCTAACTTCAAGAGCAAAAAGAAAAAGAAATGCTGACCTATAAATGTCTGTAACCCAGTGGGGGAGTGTGAGACTGAGACCCGCAGCTACACTGCATGAGTGCAAAGCAGTACACCTGGGGATGATCCTGGAGGTTCTGCAGACTCTTCCAGGAGAAGAATGATTAAGAAAGGCAAAGAAAAAAATGTCTAAGGGAAAAATATTATTTTTAAAAAATCTTAAAATAAGAGCCCTCTATGGCCAAAATTTCATAGCCACCACAAATGGAAGAGATGGGTGAATATAACCTGATTCTGATGTATTTTGGATCTGTAGCAGAATTCACTAACTGCTGGTAGTAAGGTAGGGGAGCTCAAGAAGCCAGTTCAGTTCCCAGGCTCTCATCTACAGTACCAAATAGGATCTAGGCTTTTTCCAAGACAACACTCCTGGGCTCCCCCCTTCATGACCATTGTCATAACCATGCTGCCCAGTCCCCCTGCAAGAACATCATGCTTCTGGGCAACTCAGGGCATCCTCAGCTGAGCTGTGGTCTGCTGTTCATCCTGTGTGCAGGAGAGACTAACCAGAGCTTTGAAAACAAGGTTTGTGCCAGCTACAGAAACAGAACAGCCGGGAACCTCTGGTAATCGCTGCAAATTTTTCCAATTGTTTTCTGGTCCATGTGTTTATTTAAAGGCCTTTCCCACTGTTTCTGACCAGACAGGAGCTGAGTGTCTCCCCTCAGTGACCCTTTCATGTTTTTATAGAGGCTTTGTTCTGAATATGTGATTGCAAGGTAAATGTAAAAAAAAAAAAATAATAATTCAAATCTTTCCATTAAATGATTTGCAAATATGTCCTGTCCCTACCTGGCATGCAAAGCTAAAAAAAGCAATGCAGTATCTAACCATTCTGAAGTATTTTTAGTAGGCAGTGTGCCTAGATCACCTGAACTAGTGTAATCCAAGAAAGCTGCACCAGGCTGGAGAGCAAACATCACACCCACAGGCAGCACCCTACAAAAGGTTTCTGTGCTCTGCTGCTCGCAAAACCAGCCCCTTCACACCCAGTAAAACACGCAGCCAGGAGAAGAGCGTACAGGGGCCACTCAGAGCTCATAGTTTGCCGTCCTGGCTCGCTGCTCTACACCCAAGTATTTGCCTGGCCAAGAGTCAAAGCGGGAAGTGTGGCTCTGCATACCAGACCTGGCCGTGGCAACGCAGCTGGGCCTGCAGTGGGGAAGAAAAAGGCTAGCACCGAGGGGCCTCCACGCAAGAGCTCTGAACTGGGGGGACAGCTCTAAAAAGGGCCTGTGAAACCCTGCGGACTGGTTCTCTACCCTTTGGTGTCCTGCTTGTGCTCACTTGTGTTGGTGGAGTGCCGTGACCAAACCAAAGTCCCTGGTGGCGCTGACGCCGCGGTCCCCAGGCGAGGCGGGGCTGGCAGGAGCCTCCTTCAGGCCCCTCTCTGGGAGAGCACCGGACGGCTCTCTGCGTGTTACCCCATCCCCACACACCTCCCGTGGGGTTGGAACTCACCCTCCCTCCTCACCACCGCCTTTCCCAGCGTGACTCGACACCCCTCGGGCTGAGTAACCGGGGTTGTTTCCCCCTCCATGCCTTGTCCCCTCGGTGCCTGGAAAAGCAGCCGGGGGGGACGGCGGCTGCTGGGGCCGCCCCTGCCGGGAGCGGGCGTGAGGCGCTCCCCCCGCGGCCGCGCTGGTCCTGCTCGGCTCCCCCGCTCCGTCCGAGCAGCAGGAGAGGGGACGAGCCTCCCCTGACCAGCAGCGATGCCTGCCTGAGTCTCGGTACGTCCCGTCCCCATCTCCTCCCCAGCCGCTCCCGGTTGCGGACGGGCTGGGCAGAACGCTGGCCGCGGGCGGGGGTCGGCGGGCTCTGCACCGCCCCGGGGATGCCGGGCGCTGGGGCTGAGCCGGGGAGCCGGAGGAAGGAGCCGGGGGACGGAGCGGGGGAGGCAGGGACGGAGTCGGACACTTACTCTGCAGAGCCCACCCGGCGGCCAGGCAGAGGGTGACGGTCCCCACGACGACGCCCCGGCCTCGACAGCCCTGCAGCGGTCTCATCAGCGGGAAGCCGATGCCCCAGGGGTTGCATTTAAGTGGCTGGGCCGGCCGGCGCGGCCCGACCCCGGGGGCTGCCTTCCCCAGGCCTCTCCTCCGCTTCTCTCCCTCCTCTTCCTCCCGCTCCCGCCGCGGCTGCTGCCAGCTCCCCCCCGCAGCGGCCCCCGGGCGCTCCCCCGGCTCACACCCCGCGATCTCCGATCCGGGCTGGACATGCAATTGGCTGAGCAAGGAAAGGCGCTGCCCGGCCGCCGGCCATCGCCCAGCCGGGAAATGAGCGCGATGGGCGGCCGCGGAGCCCTTCCCGGCCCTGCCGATGCCCTGCCGGAGCCTGGAGCCGAGCCCGGGATCGAGACACCTGGCCGAGGAGGATGGTATTAAGTGTGATTTGGCATCCGCAAGAGAAATTTCACTTCGGGGTGTTAAAACTGACGTTTCTGCTCCAAGAAGTCTGGTGATGCTGTCGGTGAGACGGGGATGGGGAGAGGGCTGGAGAGCAGCATCTCTGTGTCCCCAGAGATTATCTCAGGTGAGCACGCTGGAAAATGAAGCTGGTTCCCATCCCACTGTACCCAGCACACGCACTAGGTGCTCCTCTCTCCCTTCTGTTGTCGTCCAGAGGAGGTCCCCAGAAATCCTTGCAATCCTTGTGCTTCTCTCAGAAGCACCGGACAGTGTGAGATAGTGGGAAACATTATTAGAAAACATGAGAGAGTCCCAATCCTGAAAATTCATCCTTGCTCAGAGGCATGGTATAAGGCTACCAGAAGCCATATACACCCCCAGGAGACCTGCCCCTCTGACCAGGGAGTTACACACCAGATCAGCCTTTTTGCAGATTTTCCATTCTCTTTCCTTCATTTCCCTCTCCTCAAGTTTATTTAGTGGAGTTGTGGATTAAAGAGAGATGTTTCATGGTGCTGGTCAGCACAGGCTCCTCAGGGCAAGTGGGAGGAAAGGGCAATCACCCAGGTGACAAGGGACAGCTGTGATCTGCCAAAGCTACCTCTGCTGAGTAGCCACTTTCCTCCTGCTCTCTAGGGAATAATGCAGGTTTCCTTATGTATTGGCTGGCTGTCAGGAAAACAGGCGAGTCCCATGGCGGGTCTGGATAGCTGAAACACAGCTCTGGGTTGGGGGCTGAGCAGGAGTGAGGCTTGTGCAGGGCTCAGCTGCAGGGGACCCACTCCTGCTGGGGCTTTTCAGCCAAGTGTGATGCTATCATGTGCTGCCATGCTCTATATGGTATTACAGCTTCTTTCATACACATTTCAGGGAGGACTTCTAGGACTTAAGCCAGGCCTTGACAAGAGACAGTACAATCTTCATGGACTCCAGGGCCCAGATTTTGTTCAGGTGCAAAAAAATCTCCAGCTTTACCAACTTCTGGTGCATTTCCTGAAGTTTCAGCGATGATACTCAGATGATGGGGCAGGGAAAGAGAAGTCAGTGAGGATGTACTGCCCAAGTGTTGGATCCCATGTAGGTTTTGCAGGCTGCCGTGGTGCTGGGGTTGCCTGGAAGTGTGTTTGCACTCGATCTGCAGAGACAGGCCATGAAATACTTCCCTTCTGCCTCATCTGTCTGAGCTGCTCCTGTGCTTTGCCAAATCCCCTCTGCTGTGTCACACCGACATTGTGCCTGGGTGTCCCTGCTGAAAATGTAATTCCGTGAAGAACTGTGTAGTGCTTCTTTCTGCCAGATGAAGTTTCCTCCTGATCCCATCACTTCATGGCAGTTTTATTCCTCAGAGCATTAAAGAAAGTCTCATGGTGATGTGACTGTGTAATTTTCCTTTTTTATTTCTTGCAGCCTTTATTTAAATTATTTTTGAGCTCATGGCCCAATGAACTATTTTGACAGCACAACTTATGAGCTAAATTCTCATATAAAATTAATTGAACCCTGCAGATTTTAAATGTATCAAACTGGTTGCATTGAATAAATGCACTCTATTGGAAAGACAGATATTAGTAATGAAATTGACATACAGGCTTGGAGCTCCTCTCAAATTTTGGAAGTTTTGGCTACCATAGGTCAAATGTTCAGTCCTGTGATAAAAAGAAGTCCTGTGTTTGTGTTCAGCATCAATAATCAGCAAGGAACTTGTAAATTCCTTCTTTTTAAAGGGAAAATTATAAAATATTTAGAGGTTGGGCTTTTTTGATATAAACTGTACCTCAAGAAATACATATCACAAAGTGTTCAGCATTAAGAAAGCATTTAATTGAGCTATTATAAACCATATTTATTTGAAAGCTGGCTGGTTCCTCTTTCCCTGAGAGCCCCTTGGAAGCAGTGATTCCTCCCTCTGTGCTGCAAACATTCCCTCTGCAAGGAAGGAGATTTCTCTTAAGCAGAAATGCATTGGGGTGTGAAACGACAGTGCTGGGTGACAGCTGGGCCCATTGGCAAGGCAGGGGAGCAGCAGAAGGCAGGGGCAATTTTCAGGGCAGTCTTCTTGCCTGCAGCCTGTGGAGAAGCGTGGCCATGTGAGCTGCACTGTGGGGGCTAGTGCTGGAGGCCATGGGGTACAGCCCCATCAACAAGGGACTACAGAGAGAATCACTTGGCTTCAAGGAATCATAAAATCAGTTTGGCAGGAAGAGATCATCAGGCCAACCATTAACCCAGCACTGGCAAGTCCACCACTAAACCGTGCCCATAAGAACCACATCTATGTGTCTTTTAAATACCTCCAAAATGGTGACTCCACCCCTTCCCTGGGCAGCCTCTTCAAGTGGTTGACAACACTTTCAGAGAAGCAATTTTTAGTAATGTCCTCTGGCATAACCTGCAGTCATTTCCTCTTGTTCTCATGATGGCTGGATTATTGATTAGCAACCAATCTAACTGAATTTAACCTTGATGCTTGACCCCTCTGAGTCCCCCTAGCACCTGCCTGCCTCCCAGCACCCCAAAGGCAATGGGAGATGAGCTTCAGCAGATGATATCACCTGCTGTTGGGCTAGAGTTTGACGAAGATGCTGTGGACATCCTGGGCTTTGGTGCTTGGGCATTGGTGCAGTGCTTCAGCAAGGAAATTGTTTCTGCTAGATGTGAGTAGAAGGATGCACCCTGCCTGGCTCTTCTGCAGGATTTGGTAGCTAACTTTACAGAAAAAACAGATTCAAGTGTTACTGCTAATTCTACTTACCTTGGCATATATTCATGATGTATTTTCCTAACAAAGTTTTTATTAAAATCCTGTCCAACCGCATTCAGATGAGGGTAATGATATGCCACTCCAGGTTGTGGGTTTTTCATCCATTAATGCTGCTTTTCTGATTTTATTTTTCTCTGCTTGTCAATCAGCAGTTCTAGGAAACATTAATGTATTAAGTAGTATAATACACACTGTAAAAAATTAGGTTGTCTTTGTTTAATTACAAAGTGGCCTTAAACGACCAGGCTCTGGGAATGACTTACAAGGTTTGTAAAACATTTATTTTTGCCATTCCTACCCTTGCTGTAGACATCTGCAGATTCTACTGCTACATGCTCAGTATTTCAGGTATTCCTTCCCCTTTCCTTTGTTTATTTCCATTATTTTAAATGATTTTTTTTCCTTTCTTCTCATTGCCAGATATGAAACAACAGTCTCTCAAGTTTGTCTGGAGGGCCTGATTTCTCTTTCTGGTGCCATTAATAATGGAACAAAACCACATTAACGATTGCATCAACAGCCAGATAGGAGCCAGAAAGCTCCTTTTGCTCTCTAATATGCTGCATGAGTACACTGAAGTGCTTTATACAGAGAGTATTTTGCTTTTTTTTTTCTCACCCTTTTGCATTGATGTCTTTTTTGGACTTGATAAACTGCTTGACCTTGTTTTTGCTGAAGAAAAGATAAAAACCACCGGAGTTAAATATTCAACGAGATTACAGACCTGAGATAGCCCTTTAGAGCTAATTTCATTCTGCAAGAAACCTGAAGAAATGTTAACAGGGACTGCAGGGTGTTACATCTGCCTGGTTAGATGGGCTGCAGAGGCTGCCCACCATTGGTTTTGGTTGATAATGCGGTGAGCTGGCAAAAGACAGCAGGAAAGAGCTGCAGGCTTCCAAACCAGCAAAGGAATATGCAGCTGGCACAGGAGTAGTCAAAAAATAGGCAGCATTCTGCTGGCCCCTCCTATTTCACTTGAGGTTAGTCATCCGGGTTTAGTTTATTCTGATTTTCTGGAAGTGAGAAGAACATTTGTTGTGAGGTCTTGGTGTATAAAAACATTCCTTCCATTTGTGTAAGATGAAAAAGGATTTTTCAGCATCTGAAGTAGAACCTGGTCAAATCTGCCTTTGCATGTCAGTGGTTTCTTTTTACCTTTTATTTTTTTCTGCAGAAGCATGGTACAAAAAGCCCCTTTCTTACCTCAAATTAATCAATAGCTGTATGAAGAAAGACAATAGGCAGTTCTGGTCTGTCAACATTCAACCACTTTTTAAGCTATCTAGACTGTCTATATCTTCTTGTGGGTTTGGCCTGTGGGTTTGCAGGTTAGGGAAATAGAAAGAAAAAATCAAATGATAGTGCAGAAATGTTTATCTGAAAATGCACAGATGTTTAGTAGAAGGGAGACATTTGGAAACAGCTTTTGTGAAGTGGGAGGTGCTCAAAGCACACCTTTGAGTGGGGTTGGCTGACATTCGCCCATGGGATGCTGTAGTGGCAGTGAATATCTTCCAAGACAATACATCCTTCCTCTATATTCATAAAGAGTGGAATATCCCCATGTTCTTTCAATGGGAAACCAAAGCACGAAGTTGTTTTTTTTTTTCTAGGAAGTTTATATCAAAACAGAGAAAATAAATCCTCACTATCTTCAGTCTCTAAAGTGGTCTTTATCCTGCCTCTCTGATCAACCAGTTCTAGTATTTCACCACCCTCACTGTAAAAAGTTTCTTCCTTATATCAAATCCAAATTGAATCTCCTCCAATTTAAATTAACCAGTACTCCCTTTTCCTTTCACTACAGCTGCTCCTTGGCTTTCCTCACTCTATC